CGACTTCTTGAGTCCATAACTTTTTCTCTGGTAGATCGAGAAACTCTACTTCTATGGCGTGTGAGAGAGATTCTTCCTTATTCCAAGCAATGCTATCTTCTTTAAAAAAATGAACAGAACCATCATCAGAAGTTACGAGCATGCGATAAGCCACAGCTGTAGTTTCACTATTTTTTTTTGTAGTAACATCGAGTAGTGACTATAAATTAAAATTAGAACTGAGAGCGAAATTAAACAAAATAAAAAATAGCTGCTATGTATTGGATCAAAAATCATACTTTCGTTATGCCTCCAGAAGTGGCCATGGAATAAGAAATTTCATGACTTCCTAATGCTAAGCGATGAGCAGGTGCAAAAATTTCAACTTTAACGAGATCCTATTGAAAGCATGTTAATGTATGCAAAAAAAAAATTACTAAAGGATCGTCTCATGCATTAACTCTGTCATAATAACACGGGCATGACTGTGCAATTAATGAAACTACCTTGGATACTGTTGCAATTCTAGATACAATTAATCGTTCGCTTTTATCAAGGGCACCAGAATAAACTGAAGTATTAGCCTAAAAAAAGCAAATAAATAATCTCGTCATTCACATTAAAATAAAACGTTATAAATGAAATTAAAAATTACCCTCTCTCCTAAATCATAGAGCGCTATTAGCCGGCCACTTTCCAAGTCTACCTTAAACACAGCAGCAGAATTGCCATTCGTTGTAAGCGCTTGAATAAGAAATTCTGTTTTCGAATCTATGTTAAGATTAACAAATTCAAGGTTTCCAACAACACCAGAAAATGATGGTATAACGTTGCGGTAAAGTGACTTCAAATCAACATATAGAATGTTAGAATTTTTCACTAAAGTTTAAGTATTAAATATCACTTCATGATTACCTCTAGCGAAGATTGTTCAATAGAGTCACTACCCAAACGATTGACACGTATATATTGACCCTCTTTCCAAACAATGAATCCAGAGGTTGATCTTCCACCTACTACGATCGTATCTTTAATATGGCCAATTTGTGAGGAAAGAGATGTCGATTTCAAAACCCCAGTCTGAACATCGAAAGTTAATACTTCGATGGAATAAGACTTGGGAGACTTTTTGAGTCCAACAGCATATAAATTTTGATTATATCCGACGAGCTTATGAAAAAGTGTAGGACTAAATTCATATAAAAACAAAAAATATAAATAATGGCATGAATTGGATGCAACTCTATCCAGAATTATAGATACCTTTCTGCTAGATCCGATCTCCAGATCTGTCTACCATCAGTATAATCAAAGTTTACAATAGTATATCCACCTACAAGTACAACTACGCCCATGTTGTTCATAGTAAACACAACATCTACCTTCTGTGCATAAATTTCGTCGCCCCTCGAATTTGTACGACCAATTTCGGCAGGTTTTATTTTTTTTTCCCAAAGCATAAATCCAGTCTGAATTTCCCAAAGCCGAACAACGTACCCGTCACGTTCGGATACAGAAATCACGGCTATTACAACAATAGTTATATTATTTAACTGTAAAAGCAATACGATCCGTGAAAATTCGGTACTTACTGTCATTGTGACCCTTGAAGGCCAATATAATTTCACCTTCGAGAACTTGGCGCCACTCTATTAATAATCAATTTATTTAATAGATAAATTAATGAAATCGGATAAAGAAATCACGCCTTTTATTTAAGAGACGACTTTTTTTTTTCTTGATTAATTGTCAGTGCTAACCAATATTTCCGTTACGAGGTGTTATAGAGGCTATCACATTACTATCGGAAGCAATTAAGATTGTGGTCCCACGAGTTGGAAGAATCTCTCTCACACGCCATAGAAGTAGAGTTTCTCGATCTACCAGAGAAAAAGTTATGGACTCAAGAAGTCGACGAGCTCGGTATGAAATTCGGAATTAAAATTATTTATAACAATAACGCTTTATATCCTGCATTCAACTAATTAACATTGGAATATAGATGAACAATCTGAAGAATCAGAAACTATCTCGCTTTTAACCAGATATTTTCGACGATTGATAAATCATATCGAGCAACTTAAGGTTCACTTGCATATTATATTTGGATTATGAATGTAATGATTGATTAGAAATTAATATTTGCTCTTTTTTTTTTATAAACATGAATAAATTTTATTTAGGATTTTCCTGATTACTTGATTACTTATGTTCAACGATTTGCCACTGGCAATTATTCAGTTGACCCATCGCCGACGTCTAAGGCAAAAACGAGCATATATAGGGATACTTTTGGTTTCCGTAAACTGTTAATTTTTGTTACTCAAACGAAACTAGTGGCTTTAGATACTAGTAATAAAGGGCAAATAGTTTGGTCTCGGTATTTCGGTGGCATCGTATCCGAATTTCAGAAAATATTTGTCGTTAGATCATCTACTGTCAAATATCCGCCCGTTGTCGTTGCGATAGGGATACAAAAAAAACCCGACGTATGTAATTGTTCAATATGAATCAAATATTCGCTTGATAAATATAGAAAATCATTCAATCAGCTATTTATTTATTTATTACTCTTTAATAATAGAAAAGCAACATAACCTGCCTTTTCAGATTAAACGCACTTACTGGGGAAGATTTTATTACCGACCATGAAATATACACGCCTACAGAAAATAATATCTCTTTTAGTATTCCTACAGTCGCTCGTCGAATTTTTAAATTGCCAGTAGAAGAACCTGATGAAAGAACTCATATAATTGCATTGCTAGATGAAGATTTAAAGGCAAGGTTAATGTTATAATTTGTCGTGCTTTCTGAATACTTTTTGTAATATGATTTATAACATCAATATTACCTATAATTATATATTTTTATAGCTTCACATCTATCCAAATCATAAAAGCTCATTAAAAGCTTTCCAAAAGTTTGCAACATCATTCTATTTTGCATTATCCGATGGTATTGGTAGTAAAAGCTTGAAAGGATATAGCGTTGCCATTGATAAAATTTCACAGGTTTGAATTATATACAATTTTTATTCTGCATTTCGTAAAATAGTACTTTATATTCGCACGTTCTATTAATTCCTTTAAGAATAGCCTTTCAATATTAATAGACTTTGGGAACTTAACTTTCCAGAAGGAAATAATATTGTGGCAATTGGACATAGGCCTAGTCATGGTAACAAAATTTGTTGAACTATTCTGGCTTAGTAATATTATTCTAATAAACTTTTTCGTTTCACGCATTAGAGAAAGTTGCCTCTCTAGGTAGAGTTCTTGGTGATCGTTCAGTTCTATATAAATACCTTAATCCACATATAGTTGTCGTTGCCACGTCGTCTCCTTCAACAACATCTCTCGATTTCTACTTGATTGATATTATTAAGGGATCTATATTATATCATACCGTACATGACAACATTAGTCCTTCAAATCCTGTACAAATTATTCAAGTTGAAAATACAATTGTATATCACTTTTGGAGCGAGGAACAAGAGAAAGGATATAAAGTGGTTGTATGCGATTTATACGAAAGCGGAAAACCGGATGAAAGATTTGATACGTATGTTTATGTCATAAAATACATTAATAATAATTCGCAAT